ATCCAAGGAGATCATACCCAATAAAGAAAGTTTTGAACAGTAGTTTCCATGAAACATAATTGTTGGAGGCGAGTTTAAGAGGAGCTTGTGCAGAGATGTTGATGGTGTTGAGCTGAAACTGATTGGTGTCGAGTGTTGTGGAGTCAACTGGAACAATTGGAAGTGGCGATTATTTGTCTCGTTTGTAGTGGCCACAGTGACTGTTGAAGAGAGAAAGAGAAGGAAAAAAAAAAAGGAATTAATAGGGGAGAAGGTGCTGCTCTGATACCATATAAACGATGGTAAAAACAGGAAAAGGAAAATGCACACAGATTTCATTGATTTCAGAGGTATATATACACTAGAGATTAACAGACTTTGAAACTATATGCCTATAACTAAGGAGGAAGTTATACTAACAACTTACAACTCTCATAACCAGATAAACTTTGACAAGATAACTTCAAAATAATGCAAATACAGTTGACAGCTTGTTCTTTCTGGGTGCCATAAGGAAGCGCGTTTGGGGCTTCCATATGCTACATATTGAGACAGTGAAATCCCTGTAAGTTGTGATTCTAAGTGTGTATTATGACAAAGATCGCTCGTGTCTGATGGATCTTAACGACGGAGGTTTCTCGCACAAAAGATTTTAAATATGGGGACTTTCTGCTCTTAATTGTATTCATATGATTAAAAATGAGCGTTAAGATAACGAAAATGTGATTTAAAAAATTTATAATTTTGAAAGAGCAATCTACTATTGAAATCCGATTGATATTTTCTGTAAATTCCACCCAACATCATGTTCTTAAAATAAAATTGATGAAATATTGAACTAGTTCTTAAGGACTTTAAATGTGTGTGCTATCTCCATTTTGATGTTGGTTTTCACGCCTTGCTCGACCAAGTGTGAAGTCCAAATCAACGGGTTGTACCAAAAATAGCACACCCACTCGTCTAGCCAATTGTTATTTGAAAACACATTTTTTATATATATTTATTTTTAATCACACGTTCACATAATAAAATATTCTGCACATAAACTCAATTTTTTTCATATTTTTTATCATGCGCCCTCCTAAAAATCACTATTCAAAAAATCTACTTTTTCCAAATAATAATTGTCAAACAAGGTCTTCGTCTCAATCGAGTTAAAGTTATAAAAAGTAGATTTTTATAAATTTAATAAAAGTTGATGAAATGCATTTGAAACAATCCATAATAGACAAATGCTTTTTAAACACTGGGTTTCCGTGGCTTGGATAATCACAATGCATTCACATTTTGACACTTTAAATTAAAGTTTCGCGTGACAAAGTTTTTGAAAAAAAAAATAGTAATCTTTTAATAAATTTTGATAAAATATATAGTTAGAAATATTTAGAATTGTAAGTCTTATTAAATTTGAGATTGAAATTGAAGTTTGATCAATTCAAAATCAAACTAGCTGTAAATCTTTTTGAATCCATCTCCTCTCTCATATATACAGTCTTGAAGATGCTCGAGCACTAGGTTAACATATTTTATTTTTCAAGAAATCTAAGATAATTAAATTCTTTCTTTACATTGATATGAGCATGATAAAGTTGTATGACAATTATACTTTATCTTGAATAGTCCCAAGTGTATTAGATTATTATCTAGTAGAGTTCCATTTGTATTATGTTGGAAAATACGGATAATGAGTTGTCCATGTGGGGTGACCTGACTCGCAGGATTTTATAAGAGTTGGAGGGAGTGATTTGAATTTAGAATTCAAACCTATAACTCCCAAGTAACCACTTGAAACTTCTAGATAGAAGCTATGGAAAAAGGAACAAGAAAGTGGTATGAAAAATATAGTGAAAATTCGTATGTAAATTCACACCAAAATTGAAAAGCCCTTAGAATCACATTTTTGGCATGAACTCTCACAAGAAATGACATTAGATTGTGGATAATAATACCCTTCCGTTATGATCGGGATTTGAACCATTGGAGTATAAGAAAATGCAGATTTTGGAAATTTGAAGGCAAGGTGATTCAACCACACAGATCCTGAAATTCATCATTTCAAGTAAGTTTATTGACCCGAAATTCACGTCAAAGCATGTTACGATTTTCCTACATTGGTATCAGAGCCATAAGGTTGAATTCCTTGCTGTAATTCATGCTTAATTATTCCATTACATGATAGAATTGGGTTATGAATCTTGTATGCAAAGTTTTGAAAACTTATGTGGTATTTAGTGGAATCATTTGATAATTTACTGCCATCTATTTATCCATTTTCATGCAGTAAGATTAGTGTGGTTAGAAAGGTCTGCTCATAAGCTTTCCAACCATATAAAGAACTCAAATTTTGGACATGAAATGAAGAAGATATGAAATTTTGAAATTTGGACGATAATCTGAATTTTTTGCATGGAACTTGATAAAATCCGAAACTTCATCACGTGATAACTTTTTATACATTAAGTTAAATACTATCCATTTGGTATGGTTGGATAGATCTTCTCAATACCTTTCCAATGACATAAAGATCATTAATTTTGGACTTGGAATGAAGAAGTTATGACCTCCCGAAGTCTATACGTAAATCTGATTTTTGCATGAAAAATCGATAAAATCTGAAAATTCATCAGATGATAACTTCTTCCACGTCATGTTTTATGATTCTCATTTGATATATTTGGATAGATCTTCTCGAGATCTTTCCAACGGTATAAAGAGCATAAATTTTGGACTTAAATTGAAGAAGTTATAGCCTTTCAAAGTTTTGAGAAAAAATCTGAGAAAACTTCCATTTTTTTAAGATGATGAATAGTAAAAAAAAAGTCTGTTACCATGGAGTGGGATTCAAATTTTGGAAATTGCATATTGGTCCCTCAATTATTGTAGATGAAATTTGAGAAATTTCATGTTGAAAGTTCAGGGAACGTTCTACAACCACTTGAAAATTCACGAAGAACGTAATGTTACGTCAAATTCAAGTTTTAGATATTGCCAAATTTACATTCCAATCAATTTATTATTCGACCTCACTGCGGAATTAATTAATCAAAGCAACATGTCACTTTAATTAATTGTCTAGTTGATTAAACATGCAGTCCAGTTAATTCCTATGTTGAACTGCCGATTTGCGTAAAGTAAATAAAATAATACAAAACACAACTCACAATATGATGACGGAGAAACCCCAACGTGGATAAAACTCCGAGACCAAGCCAGTAAGTTCCACTATACCAATTCAGCAAGTACAAGTTCTGCCAAACTCCGTACCCAGTCAGACCCGCTGTTCCAGTCTCAAGATCTACTACCGTAGATACTACTAGTCTCATGCTAGCTTCTCGATCTACCTCCTGCAGCCCAATTTGCGATCCAATACAACCTCCTGGTCTTTAACTAATTGTATCACCAAGTGGAATTTCAAGAACCTCCTATTCTTGTCCAGTTTCTGCACTTGTCGTCCACCTCCCTCAATTTCCCTTTGAGAGAGTTCCTTCCTCAATAGATGAAAAAGTACCGGTGTTTTGTTTTCACAAACTTGATGATTTTCCCCAAAATATTAGTTCTCGAATCACAAGAATAAGATTGATGAATTCTCCAGTTGGTTGTGTTCTTGGATCTCTTTACAATGATATGAAAGTGTTCTAATATGAAAGCACAATGAAGCAACCCCCTATTTTCGTTCACGGCCTTTGTATTTATAGTTGGGGGCAATTTGGAGTTCTAAGCCGTGACAAACTTTCCAAAAATCAAAAATACAATTTTCCATATAACACTGTCGCTCAAGCGAAAATTGAGCGGAGAGCGAGCGACAGTACTTCGATCAAGCGAAGTCCGGGCGAAGAGCGAGCGATGTCCATTCTGCTTCTTCTCGCTCGAGCGGTGGCAGGGCAAATAGCTAGCGAACCTCCGACGCCGTGTTCTTGATTTTGACCTAACACTCAAGCCCTAGTCCCTACCACACAACTTGCTAAATTGCACCCGAAGTCCCTGACTTTTATAACATTGTACAATTGAGTCCCTAACTTTTACAAATTTACAATTTACTCCTTCTGTCCACAGAATCGCCAATTACCTTTAGACCTAACAAACTCCCCCTTTAGCATTCTGTGACAAAACTTTACAAATGAAGTCAGGACAATAAAAAATAAGTCAGGACTTGACAACCAAAAACTAAACTACCTAGTAAACTCAATCACTGAGTCTTGCATTCCTTCGTGTACCTGTTTCCTGAAATCCACAAATTCATATACCCAGTGTAAAAGTACGTGATACAGGAAATATAAAAATTAATCAAAGCTCTTAATCACAAATCAACATAACAGTTTGAGACGTAATATTGATGCCAATCAAAACACCAACCAAGACACCAACACCACTAAATATCAAAACTCAAACAGATAGATGTGATACGGAATGCAATGCAACGCTCCCCCTTGCTGCAAGCTTTCATGTTTTTATGTAGTAGGTAAATGTATCTATGTCTCTCCCCAACGACCTCTAGATATAGCAATGTAATGCAAGTGATAACAATCAATGATGTCATGTGCATGCATATGCAGTTACTCTCCTATGTGTATGCTCAATCATTATTATTATTATTATTATTATTTTTCCCCCTCAGTTACACATTTCTCTCCCCATTTTTGTCACAAATGCTGAAGGGACATACATTAAGGCCAAGTCGAGCAATAACACATAATTATCAAAAATGCAATTGATAGCATGTAAAAGCAAAATCAACAAGTAGTATAACTCCCCACATACTTAGTTCAGTCTAGAATGGAGAAATAATATAAGTGACTCATGTGTGTAAAGTGTCACTGATCCAATGCAAGCAGGATTCCAAACCTTAATTTTGTGAGAAGGGACATGTCAATCACTACTAATAAGTATGTTCTCCTACTAATGAGAGTCAAACCATCTAACGCGTAGTAGGACCTATACTTATTATTTTTACTTATCTCCCCCTTACTATGAGCTTATTTGTTTTTCAAATTTTCAAGGTATTTCAACTCATCATATTTTTCTCATTTCTCGAGCTCATTAATTTTTCGTCTTAAGTGCAGGTTCTTCTCCATTAGGCGACTAAGATGACCCCTATAGCGAGCTTTCGGCCAGTTAACCCATGTCAGTTGACCATAGGCACCAGGTTTTAAGAGACCCCGTAGGCTTAATTGCTCAGGTCTAATAGACCCTGAAAAAGAACATTAAGATATGAGCATTTAAAATTGGGGGAGATTTTTGGGTTAAGGTCTACAAAAATATGCTCAATTCATGTTCAAAATCACCCCCATCAACATGTGATAGCCATACCAAATCTCACACACGCGGTAGAGTCCCACGAACAAGTTCATAGTGTGTGCAGTACAAATGGTACATGAAGACACTTATACAGATTAATCCAACTAGACCTAACTAAGCAATGGAAATTATTCTATAGCTTATCAATTTTAGCTCCTACATGATACAACGTGCAAGCTCAAAGTCATGTGTCATGCTGTAGAAATTTCTATAACTAACTATTTTTGTCTTTTTCAATTTTTCAATGTTTTGTGTTTTTCATTTCTCCTAAAATGAATACTACACATACAAAATAAAATAATGTCAAGCACACAAAGACAAAAATAATTATGCATGCGCCAAAACTCGTAGGTGAAAATACACATGCATGAAAAACAACAAAACAAAAAAAATATACACGTGATGCATGCAATAATTATATATCAATCAAGAACCAAGCATGCATCAAAAATACCTAATCAAGTAGGTTATTTAAATACTCTTTCCTTTAAGAACAACACAATCTCTAACCAAATTTGGGAGATTGCTTTTCTTCACCCAAACCTGTCCAGAATGGTGATTGTTTCCAGACAGCTGTGTCACCAATTGAGTCAAACGATTTACTTGATTAGTAAGGAATCCAATTTGACCAACAGACACCTGATATTTGTTCCTTTTCAGGCTCAAGTCTTTTCTATTGTTCAGGTACTGATGACATCTAGGGCAGATGTGACCTAACTCCCTACAGTGAAAACATGTAGGGGCAAACCTAGGACCTATGATATGCTTACGCTGATTTCTATTCCTAGACTGACGGGTCCTACGACGTCTGGTAGACTTAGATCCTGGAGTTCCCACTACATTTAGTATAGGGTTAGTCACAATGTTTGGCTGGTCAATAGCATGAACAAAGGTGGTCTGTGATGTATTAGCAACATTCAGATCAAAACCTAGACCTCCCCTATCACCAGTCGGCTTGCCTATACCTAGAATATTATCTAGCTTTTCAGAACTGCTAGAAAATGCAAGTAACTGAGATCTAGACAACTCTAGCTTACTCTCAAGGTGTTTAACCTGAATAGCTAAGGTCTCATTCACAATAGTCAGCTCACTTACTCTCCTAGAGGACATCTCATTCTTACTGGTGAGATCACTAACCCGAGCCTCTAACTGTTCCTTCTCTAGTCTAAGCTCCTTCACTTTCTTGTTCATTGCCTGGTTAGTAGCTAAGATCTTGAGGCTTTTTTCATACATCCTATCATAGGCTATTTCTAGATCTTGCTCACTTCCACTTTCATCGCCAGATTCTTTACTACTATCTAGGTCCTCTTCCCTATCACTCCCCTGTTCGGATCCACTTTTACCCCTTGCAACGAATGCCACATATTTTTCACTCTTCCCACGGGTAGATTTCTCACTCTGATTGTCCGAGCTAGACTCGTCATCAGTGAGAGTAGTATTCATAGCCTTCTCTTCAAATCTCTTAGCACTAAGGCACTCATTCCTCACATGACTGAAATCACGACAATTATGGCATCTCACAGATTTGGATTTCTTCCTAGATTTACTCGGGCCACCTCTTTGTTTCTCTTGAGGCTTCTTTTTATTCCTAAACATTTTTCAAAATTTTTTAGTTAGGTAGGCCATATCCTCATCATTGGGTGAATCAGAATCAGAAAATTCCATCCGGATATTCCTAGTGGTTTTCAAGGCTATGGATTTTTCTTTAGCGGGATTGTCTAAGGTCAATTCATAGGTCTGGAGTGATCCAACTAACCCCTCTACCTTGATAGTGTCTATGTCTTTACTTTCCTCAATTGCCGTGACTTTAGGCCTAAAACGCTCAGGTAAGGATCTAAGAATCTTTCTCACTATCTTAGGTTCAGGGACTTTCTCACCTAGGTTGAAGGATGAATTTACTATGTCATTTAAATTCGCATAAAAGACATCAAACATCTCATCGTCTCTCATTCTTATCTCTTCAAACCTAGTGGCCAACATTTGCAGCTTAGAACTCTTGACTGCCTAAGTTCCCTCATGTGTGGTTTCTAAAATATCCCAAACTTCCTTTGCTACCTCACACATGGACACTCTACTAAACTCCTCGGGAGAAACTGCAATAAATAAGGCATGGAGGGCTTTTCTATTTAAATTACAGCTATCCAATTGAGCTCTAGACCAGTTCTCGACAGGGGTGGGAGTGACTACACCATCTATTGTGGTACTAGGTACTGACCAACCATTTACCACAATCTGCCAAATACGCTCATCTAAGGATTTCAAAAACACCATCATTCACACCTTCCAATACGCATAATTGGTCCCATCAAAGTGGGGTGGCACATTCAACGGCATACTCATCTAGACTAATGTAAGGTCAAGATTCGCACTTAGGCTCTGATACCACTTGAAAGTTCAGGGAACGTTCTACAACCACTTGAAAATTCACAAAGAACGTAATGTTACGTCAAATTCAAGTTTTAGATATTGCCAAATTTACATTCCAATCAATTTATTATTCGACCTCACTGCGGAATTAATTAATCAAAGCAACATGTCACTTTAATTAATTGTCTAGTTGATTAAACATACAGTCCAGTTAATTCCTATGTTGAACTGCCGATTTGCGTAAAGTAAATAAAATAATACAAAACACAACTCACAATATGATGACGGAGAAACCCCAACGTGGATAAAACTCCGAGACCAAGCCAGTAAGTTCCACTATACCAATTCAGCAAGTACAAGTTCTGCCAAACTCCGTACCCAGTCAGACCCGCTGTTCCAGTCTCAAGATCTACTACCGTAGATACTACTAGTCTCATGCTAGCTTCTCGATCTACCTCCTGCAGCCCAATTTGCGATCCAATACAACCTCCTGGTCTTTAACTAATTGTATCACCAAGTGGAATTTCAAGAACCTCCTATTCTTGTCCAGTTTCTGCACTTGTCGTCCACCTCCCTCAATTTCCCTTTGAGAGAGTTCCTTCCTCAATAGATGAAAAAGTACCGGTGTTTTGTTTTCACAAACTTGATGATTTTCCCCAAAATATTGGTTCTCGAATCACAAGAATAAGATTGATGAATTCTCCAGTTGGTTGTGTTCTTGGATCTCTTCACAACGATATGAAAGTGTTCTAATATGAAAGCACAATGAAGCAACCCCCTATTTTCGTTCACGGCCTTTGTATTTATAGTTGGGGGGCAATTTGGAGTTCTAAGCCATGTCAAACTTTCCAAAAATCGAAAATACGATTTTCCATATAACACTGTCGCTCAAGCGAAAATCGAGCGGAGAGCGAGCGACAGTACTTCACTCGAGTGAAGTCGGGGCAAAGAGCGAGCGACGTTCATTCTACTTCTTCTCACTCGAGCGGTGGCAGGGTGAACAGCTAGCGAACCTCCTGCGCCGTGTTCTTGATTTTGACCTAACACTCAAACCCTAGTCCCTGACTTTTATAACATTGTACAATTGAATCCCTGACTTTTACAAATTTACAATTTAGTCATTTTGTCCACAGAATCGCCAATTATACCTTTAGACCTAACACATGTTGGTCCCACACTTGTTTAGTATTGAATATTCCAAATGCATTTGGGAAATTTCATGTTGGTCCCACAGTTGTGAATGTTTTTCAAATGCAATTTGAAAAATTGCATGTTGGTCCCAAAACTGAATGTTGTTTATTCCAACACCAATTTGAAATGTTGTATGCTAGTCCCAAAATTATTTTCTTTTGGAAGTTGATTATTCGAAATTCCATTTAGAAGATTATAAATTGGTCATGCATATGAGGATGCATGCGAGACCCGACTTCAATTCTGAAAATTACAAATTGGTCCTTCAAATATTCTTGATTTTTGTGTGCAATTAAAATTAATTTTCAAATAGTCAATAATTTTTTTTTTTTGGATTCAATAAAACTCTGAAACTTTTTATAAAGATTAAAAATATTTGTTCAGTGATATTTGCCTAGTGGGAGAATTTTTTTTTTTTTTTTGAAATGTTCCATTTTTGGAATGAAAAATACTCCGAATGTATTTAAAATACCACATTTTGCATACGTTCATGAGTTATATGGGTCTTGATTAGGTTATGTGATCCATTATGACTTGTTTTCGATTTTGTGCTTGATCATATATTATTAGATTTATGCACACTTATAGCATCCTTAGAGGGAAGGCTAGAGAAACAATAGTTATGAGACTTGTCGAAAAGCTACGTGCTTACTAAAATTTAAAATAAATGGATCTAAAATGTAACCTAGTGGAATATGTGAATATTTTTGGGGACATTTTATGGCGATAAGCAAAATATGAAATTTCTGATGTTACTGCCCATTCGTTGGGATTGTGTTGTAACAGATATTAAAGCATGGTTGACAATTATGATATATGTCATAATTGCACATTATGAAATTATATTATTGGATAAATGTGCATATTTATGGAAATACATTATATCCATTGACTCGTGTATTGTTATAAATGCTAAGGTTAGTAGAATTAGTGAGATTCTTACTTAGACCTATTGATTGTTAGTTGAGTGATAGTTCGATGATTAGAAGATTTAGATAAAATCTCACCAAGAACTATTTGATTTATCAACTGAGTGGGAGTTCTGAAGTTGGAAGAATTAATGTGATTCTCACTTAGAATCCATGAAATTTTGCATTATGAAATTAAGTTTATGATAGTGAAACAATAGGATTGTAGACGATGATTGGAAACATAGTGAACTTTCGACTTTGTGCCTAACGTTGAATTATCTAGACGTTAATTTGCATTAACGCAAAATTAAATATGTGCATAAATGGGCATTGATTGAGAATAAAATGTCTCTAAAAATCTAATAGATCATGAAATTAAAAGCTATATTAATTAACCTTAATAAAGGTAATAAGCTAAATACGATAACATTTGGCATGATAAGGTTTTTAAGTGTACTAGAAGGACTGATGCTTTAGAGAGCACCAACCACGCAATAGAAGACCTTATGTAGGTCATACTGCTCTAGAAACTAAAGATCAAAACTTTGTCGAGTACGGGAAAAATGTGAATTTTAGTACTCCAGAATTTAAGTTGTTAAGTTCTGTTATAAATGATTTTTTTTTTCTCGAATGTGACTTAGTTGGTGGTTAACATAGTGTTAACATTTTCATTGGTCAAATTAATTTTAGATGAGTAGTAAGTTCAAACTAATCTCTTCTCAATATATGGAATTTTGAAAGTCATTGTGACTTACAAATTGAAGAGTCAATTTTCTCTATTGACACTACCCACTATCTGAGTTAAAAGATGTGCGACTTGATGTTGCTACGTCTCGAGGACATGCTTATGTACCAATGTTCTAGCTTGTATAAAATTTTGAATCTTAAGCATTGAATGAGCTAGAACAAATGCAGCATAGATGTGGGAGACTGGTAAAAGGACTAAGAAGAACTATCAGATAGTAAGTGAATGAAAGTTGTTTTGGTAGAGGATCAACGTTATAAAGGTTCAAGTGCTTCAACTATACAATTTGAATCTCTTAGCTCGAAAGCGGTTAAGTTAAAAGATATTGCACTTGAATATATTCCTCTTAGTGTTGTTTACATGTCAACACTATACATATTGGGTCTTATCTTGTGTGGATAGTGGATTCCAGGTTTAGAAACCCACTTTATATGAGATCAAAACGTATATTATTCTATTGTTGAGTCTTTGTCTTGACACAAAGAAGATATATACAAATAATGAAGATGAAATGGATGTTTATATGACTGATACTGTAATTTAGTGTTGCAAAGTGGAGAAATTGACCTCCGATTTGATATTAAGATAATATCAAACATTCCACTAAATTTGATCTCAGTTATTGTTCTTCAAAGAGTGGTCTCTTACTTGGACTTATATGTAGTAATTCTGTTCGTACTCATAGTGGTGATGTTTATTGTGGTTCTGGCTATTTGTATAAAGGTTTGAGATTTTGAGTTGAGAAAATCATTCAAAGTTGTAAGAGTTGAACTTCCATAGAAAAAAATTCATCTGAATTTCTTTGTGGACCTTGATTAAGAAAGATAGAGATGAAATTTCACTTTTCATTACATTTATAGATGGATCCAAGCACTTCAGTTGTGCGACTGATTTTCTTAAGCTGAAAATATTGTATTGATTTGGACCTTTTCGAAGTCAAGTAGAAAATCAGATTGTGAAAGCGAAGTTTTTGAGAATTATCTGATAGCGTGAATCTCTATTGTGAGATATCAACGATCTATGTAATGAAAGATATTCTTATTTGATGGACTATTCCTTAATGTCCAATAATTATAAAGTGTCTTGGATTGAAGGAATAAAATATTGCTGAATATGATAAGATTTAAGATATGCAGTACAACTTACGTATTTGCTTTTGGAAAAAGTGTTGCCTAACTACAACGTATCAGATAATGGAGTTCTCTCAATGTTGGTAACTTCAGAATATATAAGTTTTGGACACGTATATAATCGAATGTGGGTTATCATAGACTCTTAATTGACTATATATGTTCTCGATAATGAGTATGTGAACATGAGTATGTCAAGAACAAGATATGTCTCGACGACATACATGTAGTCCAAAAAGGTACTTAAGTGAA